AAAGTGATAGTGCCGGATATTTAAACGCGGACCGCTGTTTTTGATCGTCAATTGATTTTGAAAGTTCCTCATGATCATCTGTGAGTTTTTCTTTTAGTGCTAGACATGAGCCTTTTCAACAATTGAGGTTTAGGTGATATTATCTGCTTGACTGAAGATTGATTATTGAGAACGCAGTTTGAATTAATAACTGTTAAACTTTGTTTTAATAACCGGTTACATGAAGTGTGAAATGATATGTATGTTGGCAAAATTGAAGTGAGCGGGACAATAGATCTATAATTTGCAGCGTCGCTTTTTTATCAGTATTATTTCTTTTTTTGTGATAACGAACACCATACGATCAGACATAATTAGAATTCAAACATTTTGTCGACCTTTTTTAACCTAACTCTAATAATTGCTCTTATTTAAATTCTCCATCCTTAACATTTCTCAATTATCTGTGTTCTCTGTGTTCTTACTAAAAGAGGATCCTTTTTCCTCTCCTCGCTCTTACCTTTTTGGTGTTAACCTTCAAAGGAACGCTCTCATTTCGAAGTTCCTTCTGCTTAACGGCAGTTCATGGTGTCGATAAAATATCACTACATTCTGTTGATTCAGTTCTAATTGTTTAAAGGACAAGATCACTCCAAAAATCGTGTACTTTTTTAACCAGCAGCAGAAAGTTTACACCAAGTCAAGGTCTAAACCCATTTTTTCAGCTTCCAAAATCACTTCAATCCCTATGAAAACTTATACCGCAAAATTCCTCACGCGCACCGCCATTTTGAATAGCTAATCATCCGCGCGGGATAAATACATTTCATTTGGTATGCGCCTACACAGGATACCTTTCTTTATCTGAGAATAAGACACTGGACTGTTTTGGCCTTAAAAGTATCATTAGAAGATGATTTTCTTTAAGGAGGTTTGTGACATATGTCTTGTCCAGATCTATTTCGTTAGCATCTCGAATCAATAGACACGAGTGAGCCTGGGTAAGCAACTACAATGTCTTTTAACAGAAACGTCACGCCGAGATACACACAGTGAGGTTACGATTCACCTTGACATGACCAAAGCACTTTGATCAACTTGGCGTGGAAACTTGAAACTCGGAAGGCCAGTAACAACATAGCCAGAATTGCAACGCACTGGACACCTGAAGGCAAGCGAAGCAGAGGGCGCCCGAAAACAACTTGGCGCAGGACAGTAGAGAAGAGACTAAGGGGGCTCAATTACAGCTGGAGCACCATTGAAAAACTGGCTTAAGACAGAGAGGGTTGGAAGGATTTCGTTGCTGCCCTATGTGCCACACACAGGCGTGATGGGTAGTAAGTAAGTAAGTAAGTTATTGTTATACCTTTTTCCTCATTAGGAAGGGTAATGTAATCAAGAGATGAAAAAAACCGCTACATTTATTCGTCAAACTTTTCTTTTTTTTTTTTCTTCCAAAAATTATATCCTATCACGAAAGTAGTGCTCGAAAGAACAAAAATGCGAACTTTTCCGGTCATGTGTTTCCGACAAAAAGTGATCCATCAAACCATTTTTGCAGGATTAAAAAAAGCTCCTTAGGTTTGCAATGCGTGCAAGAGCTGTCATTGTTGTGGCACGTGCGATTCACAACGTTTAAAAACCAATCCTGTAAAACTCGCTTCTTCCACGGGATGAGTATCGAGTTCGCTGAGAAATCAGGAACGTGAGAAATCTTTAAGCAAGTTTATGCGGGAAAAAAAATTAAATCGCTGCAGTTTAGCCGATAACAGGTATAGAAACTTTTAAACAATAGAGAAAACCATGTTCAAATCTGTAAGGATTCATCTGAGGTACGGAGTTTTGTTGCCTCAGCTCTGTTGTCCTGATGGCGAATTATTGTTAGAAAATAAATGAACTCGACATAACTTTTCTTTTAATTTCAAGGGGAAACCAAGGTACTAATGATTTAGCAATTTTTTTAAAATGTTTCCCACTGAATTTTTAAATAACTTTATCTCAAAACTAATCATTCATAACAACAAATTGTACATAACTTTTAAGTCTTATTTATTAAATGCATTCCCAATTTGTCTCGCCTCGTTATGTGGAACAAAACCTAAGACTATTTTTTTCAAAACAGCTTAGAGCTAACACTTCAGTTTAGTTAGAAAATCATTAAACACCTCTAATTATGACGTAATTACCCAGTAGATGTCCATTTTTAAAAACAGTTGTCACCTTACTTCTTGTGCTTGTTAAACACTTATGCATGTGAAATTATGCAATCATAAATTGTTCTTGAATTAAAGCTTAATTAACAATGTATTTTCTTAGAAAACACTTAATAAATCTATTCTAAACAATCAATGGTTATAAAAAGCAGCACATGGTCTTAACGTTTTCCACCTATATATTCTCAGCCTATAAAAAAAGTCAAACTTGTTACATGTTTCTATACAGCATGTAGTTTTTCTACTACCCTTAAAGTTCTTGCTCTAAATTATTCAAATTGCTACTGACAATGCGCAGAAATTCTTCGAACTTAAAGAAAAACTTAAGATCGGAGAAAAAAAATTAAAGAGGATATTAATAAACCGAGAAGAAACATGGATGGCTAAGTGGTGAGGGATGGAGAAGATTAAAACGGCTTGGAACTGACGAACTTGAAAGACCTGGGCTAATTACTTCGGGTCAAAAGGTTTTGGTCTCTAAGAGTAATTGTGAGTCTTGATATAATCGCTATCAGTTCTTCCAGTGACAAAACAACATTAAAAATAAAACAAAACACAGGTAAGGCTCAAGGTGCTTTTGTTATCTCCACAGGCTTAGATAAATGAGTGATACTTTTGCCGGTGAAGCGACCATCTAAAGAAAACTGCTGAACCTGGTTATTGCCAAAGTCACATACTAAAAGAATATTGGAGCTGTCTACAAGCAAATCATACAGCGTTTGAAATTTTCCATCTTGATACCCTTCTTTGCCAAACTTGTATAAGAATGTTCCTGACTGATCAAAAGCTTTTATGCGGTGGTGGCCTGCATCAGTTACGAGAAACATGTTTTTGTAAGGAATGCAGCAGGTTGGCCATAAAAGTTTCTCTGGGCCTTTGTCTCCAAATGTGA